TACCACTATCACCACTATCCTATCATCACTCATCCCTATGATCATCACCATTAACGTCGTCGCCAACCCACCACCATCGCCACACTCACCACCACAGTTACTGCCCCACCACCGTCGTCCACTATCACCCACCACTATTATTATCTCATTCTTATATTTATTATTACTACCACCATCATCTCATTACTACAATCATTTAACTACCACTGTTGCCCACTGTTAGCACCCATCACTATCCACTACCACAACACACCCACCACCTGTCATCGTCGCCAGCCACTGTCATCTGCCTCCACCACCACCATCGTCATCGTCCACTAACACACCACTATCAACCGCCATCATCGTTGCCCACCACCACCCACACGCATCACCACCACCACAGTCACCCATGACTGCCACTATTACCATCGTCACCCAAAATCCACCACCACCATCATTGTTGCCACTCACGACTGCCACCATCATCACGGTCACTGTCACCCACTACAACCATAATCATCTCTCACCACCACTATTACAATCGGTGCTTAAAATCTGTTTTCTCTCATTTATATTTGAGATTTAATTTTGGCTGTAAATACAAATATATTTATTGTTGATAATTTTTTTTATTACTACGTGTCTTCAAGTACGGAAAATAACTAGTAAATAAATAGCATGGGTTGAGCATAGATTAGGTCGTAATTCTTTTCAAAACAATTTCTATTCCAGAAATAATTCTTTGACACAATATTTTCATAGGTAGAATAGCAGTCGTATTTATTATAACTTCACACTAATTTGTACAGCTGAACAAAAAAAAGTGGAATACCTTGCTTAAAACTACAAAGTCCACCAATTTATCTAGCTTCTCTTTTTTGAATAGTAAGAGTAAGTTGTCAAATTCTTTGGGATTTATTTAATTCCAACTTGGCCTTCTTTTTATTTTACTTAGCAATAAGGAAAAAGTGGGAGTACACGAGTCAGCTGGTCCTAATTCCCAACCTAGAACTCCACTGCATACAGTTTAATACGTTTTGCCAATACAATGGACTAGAATATTCAATAGGGTCCATCAATATTATTAAAAATTAACACGTGTAAATTTTATTTATTTTTATTTTAATATTTTTTTATAGTCAACGATTATAAATTAATCAAATCAAAAATTAAGACCATTAATAAATTTTAGTTCAATATTAAAAAAAAAAAAAAAAAAAATCATCGGTGCGGTAGCCATGTCTATTCGATATGCTAAAATAACATTGTTCTAGAAATATGGTCAGAAGGTTTAATAGACTTATTCCAATGTGTCTGAAAATATTCAAAAATGAGGGGAGAGTGAGAAACATGGTTTGGTCCAAGTCTTGGCTTACTACGACAAGCATGTTTGCTTAGAACCACACGACACATAATATTCTTTTTTGGAGGGCTTGTGCCTGAAAGGGTGAAGAAGTGAAACGATTTTTCATTGATGCTAAATAGACGAATGGATGTCAATGTACATGTTGACCGTGGAGTCCAGAAAATGCCAAAAAGTAAAAATAATTATTTTCATAAAAGTGATTTAAATTGCCATGAGTTCCATCCCATACTTGTACGTTATTTACTTTTGTCTATGTATTCATGATCACGAATAAAGTTTTTGTGGACCTTACGCAAAAGAACAAATGATGACACCGATGGCTGTATTTTCTTGCAAGTGGGGCATGCTTAAACCTCGGACAGTTTCCTGAAAAGGACAGATGACGTGGCTCCATATTTGGCGGCCGTACTTGTTTTCATGCCAGGAACTTAAGCGGCTGACGTGGATGCATGATTTTTAGGTATTATTTATCAATCTAACACATTTTTGAAACAAATTTATTAAAATATAATATTTTTATCAAATTATAATATTTTTTAAATAAAATGAATAATTCTGCTTTTTTATTTACAAAAACGATGATAACAATCTCACTTTTTGGAGTCTTCGAACTTTTGATTGGTCGTAATTTCTTATCATACTCGATCCTACATTACCATACTAAACTGCTAATCGCAAAAATTGGGTACGAATACGAAAGAGTTTTTGGTCTTCCAATTAAATCACGTAAAAATGCTAAATAATCATCAATTTTCGGATTTCTATCCTACCCTACCCGAAAAAATTATATTTAACTTTTTTTATATTTTTTTAGTAATTATAAGAGTATTTGATTGATATAATTTATATTATAATATTGTTATTGTTGTGGATATTTGAATTGCTTAAATATGAACTTATTTTTTGTGTAAGTTACATTATTTGTGGTAAACTGGTGATCTATTTGAGCAATTATGATTTTAACATATTTCATATGGTTTAAATTTAAAATAATTGTTATTGTATTTGTGTATTTATAATGGATTGATGTTCATTCTTTCTTGTATTTTATTGTAATTGTTTTAAATTTTAGTGTTATTGATTTATTGTGTTGTTAAATTGGTGCATGTTATTTAATTGAATTGTTAAAATGATTCAAAAATTCATAGTTACAAAAATATTTACTCGACTTTTTATCCGATTAATCGGGTAGGAATATCACACCTGATTGAATATAATAAGCCAAAAAAAATAAATTTTAACAAAATATCGGATAAAAATACGAAAAATTATATTTTCTAACCTACGGGTAGGATAAACTTCTACCCACTTTTAACTAAAAAATCTGACCAATACCAGTGAAAAGGAAAATTATCTTTCTTTTTGCGTCTTTTGGTTGGCGTTTCCACGAAGCTTCGTTGGGTCCATAATTTCCAATCCCTTCCTACTGTTAAAATAACTGATTAAATGAAGATAGGCAGGAGTAGGCTTACCAATTTGATTAGCTACGCAAATTAAAAAAAATATTGTACCCCATCCTTGAACGTTTGATATAGCCTCACAAGTACTTTGAACCGTTCGTTTGACTTGATTTTTTCTCATAAGCTGTTCAATTTGGATTGGGCGTTCTACAACTCAATCTTGAACAAACCTTAATTAATTAGATAACGAATATAATTTTGAGCAGTCCAATTGATTATACATATTATTATTAATGCTATTTTGTAGTATTGCTCTTAAAAAGTTATGCTCTATGGACTTGTAAAAAATTTTACAAGGGAAGATTTATGGCCATGGTATCGCCACTGGTGCCATGCTTAATCAAAATTAATTACACTCATACATACTTGTTTGAATTATTTTTAAACATTTATTAGAAAAATAATAAAGTTGTAACAAATAATAAAATAAATTCCACTATTTTTGCCTATGTATGCCTTCTTGATCAGATAGGCTAAGCTCGAATCTTCAAATAAGAGGAAACCCGGAATCAATCAGGCCATTAAAGCTGCGAATTGGCTAACTTTACAGGAAGACTTGTGGTAGGGACGTTTGTGGCGACGGGACGCTGCAAAAGTTCCGCGACGCTTTTTGCAACATTGATAATATATCAACGTTATCGATCTTATTGGTCAATAATATATAAAAAAATAAATTTTATATAAATTAATAATTATATAAACTAATAACTATTTAAGCGGATTTATCAACCCACTAACCCCTCGCACTAATCCCTTGCAAATAACTCCACCGTTTCCAACATTGAAAAGATAGACCTACTCGTTGGTCAAAACAACTTCGACGTCATTTCCGGAACCGAACACCGAATTCCAATCCAGTTTACTACATAGTTCAAATAACATTTTATTTTTTCGGTTGCAAAGGCCACCAATTAATTTCTCCAATTTTATTAATGGGCCTTTGATCAAATAGTATTCTTTATTTTATGAAAATTTTAATTTTTTGAAATTAAGTTCAACGTTTTTCCCTCTTTCCTTCCCAAAAAGCAAAAAAAATAAATAAATATTTTCTCAACTTCATTGGTACGAGACCTGAGGGTCCATCCGAGTGACAAAGTCTCTTATTGTTGCACCCTTATGTGCCAAGTTCGAATCCTCTCCTCTACGCTCTAGCACTCTTTAATTACCAAAATACTTTAAGAGCAGTCTCAAGAAATAAAGAGGTCCAAAATTTAATTTTTTTTACTTGAACAAACTCATTTTAATTAAAAAATAATTTGTATTTAATTAAATTTATGAATTCATATGGTCAACGAGTCAAGTTTAAATAATATATAACTCACCTCAATTTATATTAATTATTGTATATAATTGATTTTGAATCAAGTATCAAATAAATGTTATTAATACAATTTTTTTTTTAGTAATGATTGACATCATAGCCAATTGATCCACAACATGAGTTGCTTAAATAAGGTATTTAATAGCAAAATTATTAAAACTAAGCAATTTGATCACATAACGTGATTTAATGACTTGACAATCAAAATACCCTTGTATTATGGGAAAGGCTATGGTACCGAGGTACCGTATCAAAAGTTACAATAATTTTAAGTTAATTTATAATTTTTTTGAAGTGTAAGTTATAATTTTTAAAGGTTAAATTACAATTCAAAAATGCGAAGTTGCAACTATTCAGGGAAAGTCCATAATCGATCATGTGTATTTGTGATCGATCATGGACCCTCGATCAATTATAGACTTCTTCTGAGCGATTGTAACTTTTTTCTTTTGAATTATAATTTCACCATAAAAATAGTAACTTTCAGTATTATACCGAAGGCCGAACCATAGACTTTCCCTCATATTATTATTAAAAGTATAAGTGTGTCTGTTTTTAATTAAGATTATATCACTTACACTAAATCAAAATATGAAATTACTTTTTTTAATTTTTTTTATTATAAAGTGTCGTGACTTATGCCGATTATGGTCCAACTGACCTCAATTTCAATAGTATTATTATTGTGTGCTACCTGATGTCGGATCCTTTTTGCTTTTCACGTTTATTTGCGGCTTGAAATATTTCGCTTGTGACCTCGAAGGATAAAATCTAACCATGGTTAGCAAACCTCGTGTTAAACAATGGTTAAAGGGTGTCCCTAACCCCTATAAATTGGACCCTCCGGCGTCTCCTTTCTCTCATCACTTCTCTACCACTTACATACTTTCCTTGTAATTTCATGGTGGAGCTCGTAATTCTTTCCATTTCTTTCTTCCTTTAATTTCCCATTGTTCTCTCTTTCATTCGCGTTCATATCTCACTTTCTGGTGCGCTCTCTCTCTCTCTCTCTCTCTCATGATTTCCCCTGTTCTTGGTGTTCTTATTAAAAAAAAAGCGAATACTTCCTCATATAATGGACACGAACCTTTTTTCGATTCATAATCACGTGAAATTGAATTGTTGTTATGTTTGTTGCAGGGTGAAATGGCAGCCAACGGGAACGGACGTGTGAATTTGGCGAACCGAGGTGCTGGTCGGAACGGACTAGCGAAGATCCAGACGCAGACGAGGCAGAACGGAATATGCCACGACGACAGTGCACCTCCGGTGAAAGCTCAGACGATCGATGAGCTTCATTCTCTTCAGAAGAAGAAGTCGGCGCCTACCACTCCCATTAACGGGACTCAAGGTGCTTTTGCTGCGATTTCCGATGAAGAACGCCAGAAACAGCAGCTCCAGTCCATTAGGTATATAATCATACATTCACATACCAACTCGCATGTCATCAATAACCATATCATAACATGACCCCGCATAACATCAATAACTAGCGAATCATAAAATCCGTTAAAGCAGGGTGAGATTCCCTCTGACTAAATATTTTTTTAAGAAAATACTATTTTAATTTAATTTTAAAATTTAATTAAATGTAACTATTAAAATAAAAATAAATTTTACTTAGCATTAAAATTTATAATTAATCTAATTATTATATTAAATTAAATCTTCAAATTAAGTCTATGCAACATTACTCTCCTTTTATTTTTTCAAATCATCTATTTTTTTTTCGAGTGAGATTTATTTGTGTACAAGTTAGTCCTTGTGGGGGTGAAAAAGGAAAAATAATAAAAGGAAATTGGGTGGAAAGCGGGGGTGAAAAAAAGAAAAGAAAAGAAATCAAGATTTGGAAAGTACCCTTGATCTAGGGGTCACTGTCATACGGAGAAGTTTGAATTGCAAGACAGCAGAGAACACGATGAAGATGAACTTTTACCACGATCAAGCATTTCAGTGGGTTGTTATCCAGAACCAAAACCGTAATTAGGTGGGCCCTCCAATCTTACGTGTCAGGCACTTATACTGCCACGTTTTTTGATGCCACTTTTGTTTGTTTGAACAGGGATGCCACATTCGATAGCCTTTGGATCCAATGCAATGTGAAAATTTAAAAAAAAAAAAAAAGATTAAAACTTCTTTTTTTTATTTAATAGAAGATCTTGTTTTATTGGATTTACAAATCTCCTCTACGGAAATCTTCATTTTTACAATTAGAAATCTTTGTCCGTGACATGTTTTGGACTCTTAAATACTATCTAATTTTTTAGAAGAATCATCCAAAAAATATATATATAGTTTTTCTTTTGCAGTTGGAAAATAGAAAATTTTGAGGGAGAATTGCTGAAAGACTTGCTTTTTTCATATTTCATTTAATTATTTCCTAACTGTGTTGCTGATCTTCAAACAGTGCCTCTTTGGCATCGCTGACGAGAGAGACTGGACCAAAGGTGGTGAAAGGAGACCCAGCAAGGCAGTCTGAGACCCCAAAGGTGTCGCACGTTTCTCACCATGACTATTTCGCACCCACCATTAGCGTCAGTGACAGCTCTTTGAAGTTTACACACATCCTCTGCAACCTCTCTCCAGCCGGTAATTCCCTCCCCCCCTTTTTTTGAGAAAATATTTGTTTATACAGCATAACCATTTAATAATAAATTAATAAATGAGCAAAATAAATTTTACTTTTTTGAATAACTATCCATCTATTTAAAGCAATAAGCATACGTAAAAAGATAGATACTGTATCTATTATATAAACTAGAAGAAATAGACCTTTTTTATGATTTTGTTATGATGGAGGGAAGAAATAACTTGTATATGGGTTGGTGGTGAGAGCAGAGCTATACGAACAGGCCATAAAGTATGAGAAAGGGTCGTTCATTACGTCTAGCGGTGCACTGGCGACCCTATCTGGGGCCAAGACTGGTCGGTCCCCCAAGGACAAACGCGTTGTCAGGGATGACACCACTGAGGATGATCTTTGGTGGGGAAAGTACGTGCCTCTCTCTCTCTCTCTCTCATTCTCTCTATCTGCCACTACTCTCTTTCTGCACAGAAATGTCACTCTCTCTCTTGATTTCTTCCGATATTTACTGCTCTTTAAGCTATGTGCGTGTACTGTTTTATAGGGGTTCACCAAACATTGAGATGGATGAGCACACGTTCATGGTGAACAGAGAAAGAGCTGTTGATTACTTGAATTCTTTGGACAAGGTGATTCATCCTTCCATCTTCTTCTTGTTGAGTTTTATGGGCGAGATGATAGGCTTTTACTAAGTGTTTCATATCCGAAAGTTTGGTTCCTAAAAGGGAAAAAAGGAAAAAATAAAGTTTAAGTTAAAAACTTATTTTTAAATAGTTTTTTTGACTCTGCCCCTACCTATAGTTTTTGATAATTCTAAAGGACACATACATCCTTACAGTTTCTAATGTTATAATGATATTTCTGGTCATATTTTGTGTGATATAGTTATTATTTTTTTTAAAAAAAATAGTTATTATTTTTCCATAAAAATTACCAATTTTGTCTGAAAATTCTTCTTCCCCTTTTTCTTCACACTCACTCTCGAATACATGCACGACCTGAAATCATTGTCAAAAAAATCCCACCCAGATCCCCATCTATTTTTGACTAAAATTTGTAATTTCAAAAGTTCTTATATTTAATAATTTTTAACATTATCGGGGTCCACAGTGTAATTTACCAAAATAAATAAATACTCCACTTGCGTATGCCAGTCACGCGTTTTTGAAATAAATCATCACTTTGAAGAAAGTGTAAGACCCTTGAGATTCTGGAGATAGAGTGATGTTCTTGTCTTTTTTGTCGGATTTGCCCATTTGCTATTATGCGCCATATGTTTAATCTACCAATCTCTTCTTACTAATAAAATATTTAATGCAACGATTATAAAACGTGGTGACAGTCGTACAGTATAATCGATCAATAATAAATAAATAGGACAAGCGAAATCTAATTTTAAATGTGAAAAATATTGGTAATTATACAATTTTTTGGGATCCACTGGTTTTACATTGTTAATTATAATTGATTAGTTATAATGCATGGTGACGGTGACATGAGTAAATATTCGGTGTAACGGTGATATTATGTTATCATTGACATTATCATGTTACTATTTAATAATAAATTTACAAATGAGTAAGATGAATTTCATTTGGGTGCTTACCAAATGTCATGACAAGGTAATTAGTACAACACGTGAGATTCACTTACTTATTTGTTATGTTTTTATTAAATAGTAACACCACATGATAATAATTATTTGGTGTCACCAGTACGCTCACTATTTTTTCATGGTGAAATAGTATAATAAAAATTATATAACTTATATTGAATATTTTCTCCTCGCCTCCGGTGCATCTGTAACCGCTGCTTTGTTGGGATACAATTATAGTATTGAAAATTAATTTTAATTTTTTCATCTGATAAAAATAACATCTTTAAGATCTTATATTTTATTAGTTTTTAAATATATCATTTAATTTAATTTAAAATAAGGCAGATGATACGCCAGGCAGTCAGGTTCCTTCATAACGAGAGTTGGTGTGGTGTATAAGGGATTTGCATCATCTCAGTTTCAAATTTTTTGTCGGTTTCAATCATTCTCGTGAGTACAATTGGGTGTTATTAGGACCCCTAGTAATTTACTAGCTGAGCCTACTATTTGTAATGGACTGAAACCCACAAATTCTGAAACCGAGGATCCAGTCCCATATTTTGGTGCTCATAATTTGGATCTGAAAAGCTTTAGCTGTTTGCACCTTGTGTTGTTCATGTAGAAGAAAAACTCTTCCAATTTGTCTATGGAATCCATTGAAGCTATTAAATGCATCTTACCATGCTGTTGTTGTAGATTACACATTCATGGCATACCATGCTCGGTGATAAATTTTAGGAAGTGTGGGGACAATCAGTCCCCCAAGTTTAGAAATCTTTATATTGTTATTACTTCTGGATAATCTCAAGTTTCACAAATGTGCGGCTCCTACCCTTTTTCAAAAATTTTTAAGGTCGTTTGTTTNCTGTAACCGCTGCTTTGTTGGGATACAATTATAGTATTGAAAATTAATTTTAATTTTTTCATCTGATAAAAATAACATCTTTAAGATCTTATATTTTATTAGTTTTTAAATATATCATTTAATTTAATTTAAAATAAGGCAGATGATACGCCAGGCAGTCAGGTTCCTTCATAACGAGAGTTGGTGTGGTGTATAAGGGATTTGCATCATCTCAGTTTCAAATTTTTTGTCGGTTTCAATCATTCTCGTGAGTACAATTGGGTGTTATTAGGACCCCTAGTAATTTACTAGCTGAGCCTACTATTTGTAATGGACTGAAACCCACAAATTCTGAAACCGAGGATCCAGTCCCATATTTTGGTGCTCATAATTTGGATCTGAAAAGCTTTAGCTGTTTGCACCTTGTGTTGTTCATGTAGAAGAAAAACTCTTCCAATTTGTCTATGGAATCCATTGAAGCTATTAAATGCATCTTACCATGCTGTTGTTGTAGATTACACATTCATGGCATACCATGCTCGGTGATAAATTTTAGGAAGTGTGGGGACAATCAGTCCCCAAGTTTAGAAATCTTTATATTGTTATTACTCATGGATAATCTCAAGTTTCACAAATGTGCGGCTCCTACCCTTTTTCAAAAATTTTTAAGGTCGTTTGCTCTGACAAAATTCTGGATCTGTCATTTGCCATGCTTGACAATGACTGATCCAGAAACTGTAGGTCAATGGTACTAAAGTTTTAATCTCATAGGATTATGAATTAAGCATTGTGAAAACAATTCAATTCAGTAATCTCATGATCATTCACTTTGTTATGTGGTGGTGGAACAAAGTATGAGACATCTTGGTCACTTTTGGGGAACACTAACGCTGTGAGCTTAGGAAGGGATGAGTGACTTGGAAATTGATATGCATAATATAATACTCCCAACCTTTCTGGTGAAGTATAAGCTTTAAATGATGTAGCGCTTTGAACTTTCATAATGTAGCTGCCTAACTTAGTTCTCTTTAATTTCCGATGCATGGATTCATTAAGCAAAGTATATGGGTCACACAGTAAATTAAATTCTGTAATCACTAGACAAGTTGAAAGGTGACTTTGGTTTCAGTGAATGGTGATTGATGATGGTGCATATGATGATTTTCAGGTCTTTGTCAATGATCAATTTCTGAACTGGGACCCTGAGAACAGAATCAAAGTCCGGATTGTCTCTGCCAGAGCTTACCATTCCTTGTTCATGCATAACATGTAAGTCAATGGAACTAAGAGTCAGTTAATTTGCAGAATTTGATTGTGCTTGCCCTTCCCTTCTGCCAAAGATCTAAGGTTTAAGCCCTCCCAGATAAGTCTCCTTTACGATGAATAATGTTCTCCTCGCTTCAATAATATGATCCCTTGATTACAATTAATAAATTAAATAAGACTTCATTGCATAATACTTAAAATTCAAAGGTATGGTATCTGAAGTGATGTGATCGTGTATTAGTTCCAAAGTGCAAATCGATAACTGGGTGGGTGCAGGTGTATCCGACCCACTCCTGAAGAGCTGGAGAATTTTGGTACTCCGGACTTCACTATTTACAATGCTGGACAGTTCCCGTGTAATCGTTATACACACTACATGACATCCTCTACTAGCATAGATTTAAACCTTGCTAGAAGGGAAATGGTTATCCTCGGCACCCAGTACGCCGGGGAAATGAAGAAAGGCCTATTCAGTGTAATGCACTATCTCATGCCTAAGCGTCAAATCCTCTCCCTCCATTCTGGCTGCAATATGGGCAAAGATGGAGATGTCGCCCTCTTCTTCGGATTGTCAGGTAAAGTACCACTGGATCATTGTGCCAGTGTGGTGCTATCCCCTGCCAACCGATATGTGCCTTCTCTCTCTTCAAGACTGCCACATTTGATTTTAAACTGATCACTAATTTGCTTCTTTTTCCTATTTCTGTTGTTTGATGAGTTCTATTCTATTATGTTTCAGGTACCGGAAAGACTACTCTTTCTACTGATCACAATCGGTACTTGGTTGGAGATGATGAACACTGTTGGAGTCAGAATGGTGTGTCAAATATTGAAGGTGGTTGCTATGCCAAGTGCATTGATCTGTCAAGGGAAAAGGAACCTGATATATGGAATGCTATCAAGTTTGGAGCTGGTACAGTACTAATTCTGTCCTGCTTTAACTTACCATACTTAAATGGGCATAGTGCAAGTATAATGAACCTGTTTTCTGTTACACTAAGCAAAAAAGTAGAAAGGATATTTAACAAAAAGAAAAAGATCAGAGGACCTAGCTTGATATAAGCATTTTTGTTTTGGCTCGTTGCACTCCATTAACGATTGTAATTGATTTGATTGTTTATCAATGTCAGTTTTGGAAAATGTGGTATTTGATGAGCATACACGAGAGGTGGATTATGCTGACAAATCTGTCACAGGTACGCATCAACCACTTGATACTGACATAATTCTTGGTTGTGTATGTTTTATCTCTGACTTCTTAATTCTGGCATTTAATCTGATAAGTTAGGAGTTATGCTGAAAAAATAGCTTTTGGTAGGAGTTTCTCACTGCAAAGCATAGTTAATGTGCGGGGAAAAATTTGGAATTGATATATCCACTTGTCAAATAATTTGTTTAAATTGCTCTAAATCAAGCACTGGTTTTTTTTTTTTTTTTGGGCCTTTTTGTTGACAAGAACTAAGTAAAACAAATTTTTTTGTCATTGTAACCTTTCCAGCCTGAATTACTTGTCCAAAATACAAAGGAAGAGGGGCAATTACTTCAGTACAATATGTTCATTGAACTTGACATATCTCCCAAGGACCCAAGCTTTNTTTTTTTTTTTTTTTGGGCCTTTGGTTGACAAGAACTAAGTAAAACTAATTTTTTTGTCATTGTAACCTTTCCAGCCTGAATTACTTGTCCAAAATACAAAGGAAGAGGGGTAATTACTTCAGTAAAATATGTTCATTGAACTTGACATATCTCCCAAGGACCCAAGCTTGGTGAAATAGAGACATGAAAAGCTCAATTTAGAGATAAACTGGGGATGTAGGATACTATCTTATATGTATTGTGAACTCATGAATGTTATTTTTCTTTATCAATTGCAGAGAACACTCGTGCAGCCTATCCCATTGAATACATCCCCAATGCCAAAATTCCATGTGTTGGCCCTCATCCAAAGAATGTTATACTGTTGGCCTGTGATGCTTTTGGTGTGCTCCCACCTGTGAGCAAGCTAAGCCTTGCGCAGACTATGTACCACTTCATTAGTGGCTACACTGCTCTGGTATATATTTATTTTCTCATCAAATGCTTTTTTTTTTCATTCAAAACAAGTTAAGGTTTGGGCAAAATGAGACCCACGAGAGGGAGCTTTAATAGAGTTTATGCTATCTATGCACCAAGGACAAATAAGCGGTTGTTGTTTGATAGGAAATGAATCTGACGAGTGAATTTACTGCAACTGCAGGTGGCTGGCACCGAGGAGGGCGTGAAGGAGCCACAGGCAACGTTCTCAGCCTGCTTTGGTGCTGCATTTATTATGCTGCATCCTACCAAGTATGCTGCTATGCTAGCTGCAAAGATGCAGAAGCATGGTGCAACAGGATGGCTTGTCAACACTGGCTGGTCTGGTGGAAGGTACATAGAAACAATAGTATATTCATAACTTCCCTGTCCCAGTATAATACGCGACTCTAGATTTATGCATTAGAGAGAAGGATTTGGATTGATTAGTACTTCATTTGATTTGCAGCTATGGTTCAGGGAGTCGTATGAAGTTGGCATACACTCGAAAAATCATTGATGCTATACACTCGGGCAGCCTCCTCGAAGCAGATTACAAAAAGACTAGCGTGTTTGGGCTTGAGATCCCAACTGAAGTCAAGGGTGTGCCTTCAGAAATCCTGGATCCAGTGAACACGGTTAGTTGGCTGTTCCTTACCCTCTTACTATATTTATTTGGTTTTGCTTTTGTTTCTCTTTTTTTTTTTCCACTTAGTTTTACAAATGGTATTCGAATTTGAATACAGTGGTCAGATAAGAAGGCTTATAAGGACACACTGCTGAAACTGGCTGGCCTGTTCAAGAGTAACTTTGAAGGGTTTATGACTCACAAGATCGGCAAGGATGACAAACTGACCGGGGAAATCCTGGCTGCAGGCCCTATCGTCTGATCTGGTGTGGTGATGGATGGAAAGAAATATGTAGGCTGTAACAAAATGGATGAAGTTAAACTATGAGTGCATGTAGATGTAAAACTATGAGTGCATGCAGATGTAATCCTTTATATTATTCAGTTGAAGTTTAATTCCATGTTTAGAGCGGAGCAGTCCACTCTATGATCCTTATCAACATTCCTACATGTAAGAAGTGATTTCACTAGGAAATTTGCTAATTTGACAGAAATCAGGGAATGGAATTTGTTATATAAGCTCGATACCAAACAACTCGATGGATTTTGATGGTCTTATGGCATCTCTTACATTTTGAAACCTGGCCAAGCTTTTATTACGTTGGAGAGTCCTTGATAATAGAAACTAGGAATCACGAAGCTTGCGCATCGAAGATATATATTTTTTTTCTAAAGAACAATTCTACTTGGATCTATTTTTTTTTAATGAACACACAATGTCCAATGTCAATATGAAAACATTTTCCATTCAACAACTATAATGAATAGTTCCTGAATTAGATCCTAAATTAGGTACTTTTTTAAAAAGCGACAATTACCCAACACCTAATAAAGTTTGATATCATGTTCTTGGCAATTCAATTGAAGATTACAACAAAATCACCAAATCCTGTATGTTGAGGAAAAATCACTATGATTATTGATAGTGCTCGAAATTTTCTTATCCAACTACGGAATTATATGGGATGAGGCCCAGAGGGGTTTCATGTGAGCTAATGACAAGGGGAATGTTAAGAGTTGAAGTTGAAACAAAGATACAAATATGAGTGATTCACCATAGTTGAAGAANGAGGCCCAGAGGGGTTTCATGTGAGCTAATGACAAGGGGAATGTTAAGAGTTGAAGTTGAAACAAAGATACAAATATGAGTGATTCACCATAGTTGAAGAATTAACGCTATATCCCTTGTAAGGGAGACTCTTGCTCCATAAGAACTATAGTACTTGAGGAGGAAGGTTGTGGTTATAGAAGGTTCGAATGGGAGCCTTTTACAAAGTATTTTGTAGGTATCTCATGATATTCTTTCTTGCCTATCTCTTTTTTTTTTTTTTTTCTGTTAATCTCTATGTTACACAGCGGTATCCTTTGCTATTTATAAATCTTATTACTAGGGTATCACAGTGGTTTCCTTTTTTTGGTCGATTCTGTGGTCCCTTTCTTATTTATCCTATAACTGAACCTGTCACTCTGATGTTTTCTGCATCCACTACGCCTGGAACGGAATGTATGAGGCGTCTTCATTATTGGTGAATATTTGTTATTTAGAGTTGTTAGGTATTGTTCCCTTGTCTCCTGTCCATGTGGCATGATAGGGGTTAACTAGATCTGCGTAGTGTCGAGCTACAAATTCTTGAGTAGACTCCTATCATCGAACTTGTTGAAACCGAGCTGGGTTCTGTCTTGGGCTGGACGATCTTGGGTTTTTCATGGAGCTGGGCTATGGTCCAACCCGGATATGGAAAATACCATCTCGATGGGGTGCTTTGGCCGTCTTTGGTGAGCCCTGGAGGGGTTTGGGTTTGAAAGGGACCTAGACTTAAATCTATCATCATTAATTATGTTTCTAGATCATGATAATTATGAGAAATTAATGATAATCACAAATCTTATAAGATAGAGATGAAGTCTCGTTATCTCCCAACAAACACAAGGGAGACTAGAGTGTAGGACTGGACTCTTTTCATGCCAACTAATCTAGCTTAACTAGTCACCTCAGGTCATTCAGCACTAGCTTTGCTCATTCGACTTGGACCCGCTATCTTGGCCAACATTTCCGCTAGCTTTGCCAAACAATCCCCTAGCTTTGAACAACTCCACACTTAAGTTCAGTAATGTCGTTGGAAGTCATTTAGATTTCGATAAGATCAGATCTTCGAATAACCTAGAAGAGCTAAGGCCAAATCTAATAGATAAGGTTAAATCAAAAGGCAGAAGAGAATTTGAACTCTAAGCCTATAATGTAAAATCCTAAAAAAGGGGCAACAGGCTTGTTAAAGAGTTATGTTGAATTCAACTCTTCAATTACCAACTTTTCTTTGAACCACTAATGACTTAAGCATTAGAGGGTCTACAATTGGAAATTCCTTGGTCTTCGACTTTCTTCTCAAGTGATTGAAATCCATCCAATTCTGTGTGGGAGCTACCTAAAAAATTAGGTCAACACTTTCCGAAATTTTGTATTCGTCCTACAAGAAAAAATGGAGAGGAGAGAGGTAATTTAAGATCATTATTTTTTGGACCCGTTATTTAGATGTAGCCAAGGATCACCGCCATTTTCATGGAAGTTTAGAACACTACATCAAGAGGTATCTTTCTCAAATGAATATGTAAAAATATAGTTACATGTAAGGCTTAGAACTAACTTTCAAGAGTCATAATCCATCCAATAAAGCTTAAAATCTGATTTCGATCCAAATTGATTCATATGTTCCACTCGAATCGATCCAACTCCCATTTTAGAGTGTTTAGAAACACCCCAGATTGATTCGGATTCCACCCGGAATCTTGGGCTAGCCCAACCTGCTATAGGTTCGTGTTAGTCCTAGACCTATACCTTATGCCCAGACTCAACAAAAAGCTTGTTATTTAATTTTATGAACTTTTTTATTATTAAAAAAAAAAAACCTTGTCAAAATTTATCATAATAGACCTAATGGTCATTAGATCGGATTGGGTAAAAATAGTAACCTTGACTCATTGGATTCTTCATGATGATTCTTACTTGAGATTTGCAATGAAAATTCCCACGAGAAGAATATCGAATTCACTCACGAACTTGATTTTGTAAGTTGCTAATTTAGTTTTTTTTCAGAGTAATCTCTATACTATATGTGAATATATCTATGATTAAGGAGAACCCTCAAAACCCACATTCCTAATTTTCTATGTTTTTTATTTTTAAGTATAGTAAAATATTAAGTAACACTCTAGTCCTTTTAATTAACCTAATTTTAAGGGATTATGATAAATCTCATATTTTTTATCTCACAACTCTTATATATCTGTTTTCAAAATTTGATTGTGTGGAATTCACTTAGAGTCATTCTCATGTTTCAACACTTTTAAACTGTCCACTCCATCTCTCTCTTCTTATATCATCTATCCGTCCCTCCCTCCCTCTCAGCTATCCACCCATCTTTTCTTATACCTAGTATTGTCTTACACGTACACGCCTCATCCTTCCTCTGTTTTACCTCATTGTCTCTTCTACAGGCACCAACTCCCTCTCGATCACTCTCCCCAACATGCCTCTCTCTCTAATTCTGTTCCGCCTCTTCTCTGTGTTGGTTTTGTCGGCACTAAGTATTTGCATGAAGCTACGATTGTTCAGGCCTTAGGTGTGTATTTGATCCCACAATACTAATTCTATGTGTTTTCTATTTTTTGTTTTACCAGAAAGACAAATTATTTCGTGCATTTGGAGGAGAGAGACTGGGAGAAGTTGAATTGGAATTTTTGACTGTATTTACAAATAACTTCACTAAAGGTAAAACGAAATTAATGCTCTTGTTCTGGCAGAAGATGGTCCAATGAGAACAGAAGATGGTCCAATGAGAAAGTTATATTCTGTAAATTTTGAACTAATTTCGTTTTACCATTTGGGAAGTTATTTATAAATTTCGTAAAAGATTTTAATGATTTTTTTTTTTTTTATCATTTTCAGTTCCAAAGTAATCATAGAAAAATACGAAGTTGAAGGAGTAGAAACTCCCAATCCTCCTAGTGTGGCGGGTCCTTTTATAACAGATGGTGAAAGGGTAAACGGATATTTAGAAGCTGATGATGCTCTTATTGTGGCAACAAAGGGTCCAATGAGGAGGTTATATTAAGTAAATTATGAAATAATTTCATTTTATCTTTTGGGAAGTTATTTGTAAATGCAGTACAAAGTTTCAATTATTTTTTTTTTTATTGTTTTTGATGATGCACGAAAGTGTTTATAGAAAAATCAATCAATAGATGAAGTAAAAAGGGCTCAATACAAGCAAACACAGAAATTAGGTGGATTCAGTCTGTGTGACCTACTCCACTAGGAAGGACTACGGTGGCCAGAGAATCTTATTACTTAAGAGCATAGCGTGCTAAAATGAGTGTGATGTCCCCATATGTAGACGGGGCTTACAATTTATACGTAAGCAAAGTTGGCTCCGAAGGACTTTGATTGAGGAGCTATCGAGTGATGTCGTGAGTCTTACCTTATCCTTGTAACAGGCAACATGATAGAGGGGTGATCCCTTGAAGCTGGCTCTACCTTGTAACGGGCAAGATAATCTTGCAAGGCTAGCACTGTATCCTTGATGACTGTATACCCATGATTTCTTCTCCTCAAATGGAGACTCCCATGTGCGTTGATGATGTGCTGGGCCTCTTTGGAAAGTGGGCTTGGCCACGTACCAATTGTAATTGGGCTTTTGTTATTCTGCATCTCTAATCTGGGCTTGGTTTGCATCTCCGAGATGGGCCTGATTTGCATTTCAATTTTGTTGCAGGAGAAAACAAAGTTGAAGAAATGAAAACTCTTCATTTAACGATTCGTAAATGAAGTTTAGAATACCTAAATTATAAGGTTAGATCATATATGTGTGAGTCATGATATTCGATCTCTGGGTTTCTTTCGTGGAAACAAAACGACAAGGTCTTTCATTGCCTTCTTTAAAACAATAGATGCCTCAAAATGGGACAAGCTAAATTAGGTTATGATGTGAAGAGGGAACTTAGCCTATCTATCTATAATGAATCTAATGAGCCCTCCCATTATGGGCTACAATTAGATTATGACTTACACTTTACAGCTTCAACCACATCAAAATTAACTATCAATTAATGGAAGTCTAATACGAAAATTTTTTAACATTCTCCTACTTGGGCAACATTTATTGTAGCTATTTAAAAATAAAATAAAATAAATATTTTTGTTGAAAAAATGAATCTCTGGCTAAACAAACAAAAACTCAATGTAGCCACAAAATAAAACAAAGACAGTATTGAGACAACCTCTCAAAAACGACTCGGTCCAATAAAACTATTATTTTCGAATTATGATAATCATTACATCATTTATTGACATAGAGCCAATTTATAATTACAAAAAATAATAATCCTATTGACATGAATCAAGATGTGGTAGTGTAATAAGAAAATAACATCTTAATATGTGAATTGATAAATATGTTAACAAGATGCCTCAATAATCAGTTAGAGAAATCCATTAGCTTCAACAATAAGCTAGTATGTCTCCAAACTTAAAATCTCAAGATTTTCTCAATGGTGTAATCAGAGACATACTCCATTGGCAAAAAATGGTCAAACTTGACACAAAAACCAAGTTTTAAGATTTTGTATAAAATAACATGTCATAAATGTGCACAAATACAACATAGAAAGAATATCGTGCTTAAAATAAAGATGATCATGCAAATAATTATTATTAATCAAATAAACTCCTACTAACCAAGTACATCAAAAGACCCCTAAATGCTTATATTGTCAACATATTTCTTAAAAGTTACAGGTGTCAATCCATTGGTTAAAGGATTAGTAAGCATTGACTTTGTATAAATATGTTCAATCATAATGTCACATTTCTTCACAAAGTCCCTGACTGAAAGATACTTAATTTTCATATGCTTAAACCCACTAGAATTTTTGTTGTTATTTGAGAAGAATACAGCTGCATTTTTATCACAACAAATTGTTAGTGGCCTTGTGGTAGCTGATGGTCCAATGAGAAGGTTATATTCTATAAATTGTGAACTTATTTTGTTTCACTTTTTGAAAAGTTATTTATAAGTGCAATAGAAAGTTTCAATAACTTTTTTATCGTTTTCAATTTTGAAGTAATTGTAGGAGAAAATGAAGTTAAAGAAGTGAAAATTCCCAATCCTCTGGTGGATCCTTCTATTACAGATGGTGATATGGTGAGTGGAGCTTTATAGCCGAGGATGCTCCTATTGTGGCAGTAGATGGTCCAATGAGGAGGTTATATTTTGTAAACTGTAAACTAATTTCGTTTTACCTTTGGGAAGTTATTTCTAAATGCAGTAAAAAGTTTAATTGATTTTTTATTTAGATGGGATAGAAAAGAAAGAAATATGTTTCTAGATGTGATGATAGTGGGGATGCAATAAACATACAATATAGAACCCTACAATATTTAGATATTTAGTATTAAAAATAGTTTAGTCATTTACTTTATTTGTGTTAATCTACAATAGTAAGATCTTATTGTGTATTCTTTTTACTAAGCTGTTGCACAGCCTAATTGTGATGTAATAATATTTTCTCTTTCTCTTTTTACTTTTCTTTCTATANAATCTACAATAGTAAGATCTTATTGTGTGTTCTTTTTACTAAGCTGTTGCACAGCCTAATTGTGATGTAATAATATTTTCTCTTTCTCTTTTTGCTTTTCTTTCTATGATTAAAGTTTACATGATATTAAAGTATGGTTTCGATCCAAAACATATTGTAGTGCCAAAGTAATTTGGATGGAGAAAGAATATGTTCTTAGATTAGAGTTGACATCATCTAAGAGGATTTCTTGCTATTTTATTCAATTTTTTTCTTCAAACCAAGCCTAAATCTTTGACGTCAAACGTATCTTCTTTCTTCTTCTCTAACCATCAACCATTATCAATTTATTTCTTCTCCAACCAGTTTTCATTTTTTATTTTCTCCAATACGTCATTGTTTTGATAATATATTAGGTTCGAACTACAAGTCAAATATCAGGTTCAAAATTATTCTTTCATTCATTTTTTTACATAATATTCATGCTGCNTTCGAACTACAAGTCAGATATCAGGTTCAAAATTATTCTTTCATTCATTTTTTTACATAATATTCATGCTGCTTAACGCGCTGGCCAATCATTAAATTTTTCCATAATATCGTTATGATATGGTGTAATTTTTTCATACGATATATGTTATGTACAATAAATTTTTGGATTAAAATAAGCAACACAACACTCTAGATAGTGTGACAATAAAGAGTAACTCAAGCAACATAGCATAGAATTGATATTGACTCAAAAATATATGATGTGTGACTTCAAAGTGTTTCGACTAAGTGTTCATTGAAAGTGTGAATACCTTAAGTGACTTCATATAGAATAAATAAATAGTGTGACAGCATAGTGTTATTGAACTAAAAGATAAATATTTATTATTCAAGAATCATAATTTCAAATATATGTGGTTTATCATAAAAAAATAATTCCATAATCTCTAATATATACCATATTATTATAATAATATATATGGGTCATATTACTAAACATATGTGAGCATCTGAAAATATTTACCAAAATTTTTTATCATAGTATAAATTCATATGCTAAAATAAACAAAACTTGTGACAACAAAGGGTTACTCGAGCAAAACAATACTTCATGACAATAACATAGAGTGATATTTGATGATGCACAAATTGGTCTTATGCACCACTTGTCAAGTGACTGATAATTAATGCAGTAATTAAGGAGTAGGAAAGCAACACAAGCAAGACAAAGATGTAGAGTGGNTTTGATGATGCACAAATTGGTCTTATGCACCACTTGTCAAGTGACTGATAATTAATGCAGTAATTAAGGAGTAGGAAAGCAACACAAGCAAGACAAAGATGTAGAGTGGTTCGGTCAACTTGACCTACGTCCACTATGAAGGGCTAGGATGACCTAGATATTTTGTTACTTCAAGGAGTGTAAGGAGAGCAGGGAGATACAAGCTATGAGAGACAAGGTTGAGTAATAGAAGGTGTGCTCGATTGTGTGTGATGCCCCCCAAATATTGGCGGGGTTTACAATTTATAGTCGCCTTCTAACAGATTGAGACGACTTATCAATAACTAAAAGGCTAATTTGGTGGAGTTGACGACGTCTTCTCAACGGATGAGACAGTTACGATGCTCCCCATAAGATCCGGTCAAAGGATGATGTAGTGGTTGACTTACTTCAACGTGGCATGGATGAGACTCTTGGATGACCCTTACTCCAAGGTGGCTTGGATAAGACTCTTGGAATGATGCTTAATCTAAGGTGGCTTGGATGAGACTCTTGGGATGAACTTTACTCCAAGGTAGCTTGGATGAGGCTCTTGGGATGACCCTTACTCCAAGGTAGCTTGAATGAGGTTCTTGTGATGACGCTTACTCCAAGGTGTCTTGGATGAGGNGCTTGGATAAGACTCTTGGAATGATGCTTAATCTAAGGTGGCTTGGATGAGACTCTTAGGATGAACCTTACTCCAAGGTAGCTTGGATGAGGCTCTTGGGATGACCCTTACTCCAAGGTAGCTTGAATGAGGCTCTTGGGATGATGCTTACTCCAAGGTGTCTTGGATGAGAATCTTGGGATGACCCTTACTCCAAGGTAGCTTAGATAAGGCTCTTGGGATGACCCTACATACTCCCTTGGTAATGTAAGCGCTCGAACCCTGATGAGTTTGATTGGGTGTGGACCTCTTTTGGGCTTGACCCATTGGATCTTGTCTAGTTAGATTCTTTATTCAGACTGAACTTATAATATGAGTTGGGCCCTTGGGCTTGACCCATCATTTGCCCCCCAATGCCCTGTATCCAAAGAAACTTGGAGAAGAGGGCATTTGGTTGAATTTGAATTCTGGCTGATAGAGACTCATTTTGCCTGATGACCCCTTTTCCTTCTTGATATGGTTTATGACCATGAGTGGTAGCACATTTAGTGAGGCCAGGGAGGTTATCCATGAGTTAGGAGACTAGAGACCACTGTCGGATGAAGGATGGGAGATGCAATAAGTCATTGTCATCGGAGAGGAGGTAGGCTAGGAAAAAGCAATCAACGTTGAAGCTGGCGTGCAGGCTGGCGTCGACAAGGCAACGGGTGTTGGCGAGCCTGGGTGCTCCATGGACGTCGAGGGTGACAAGGGGGTACAAGTGGGCTCTGGTGGTGATGTGCCAAAGGCACAACTAGGCCTCGAGGAAGGGCGAAGACGCTATGGGCACCGTTGAGAGCGAGGTGCCATGGGGGCTACCAGACGAGGCGACCTAGGATGTTAAAGGCGGGGCGCTATGGGCGTCAGTTAGTGGGCGTGCTAATCATGGAGAGGGTATCGCCGTGGGATGGGCTCGGCCAAGGGAGCACACAACAACATCACAGGGCGTTGGGCACGGCCTGGCGAGCGCACTGGTGAATGGGCGACGCCGATGGGGTCTTTGATGTTGGGCAAGCCAAAAGCGACAGCAGTGGATGCTGGGCATAGGGCTGCAAGGTGCAGGAGTAAGGGACGTCGAGAGTTAGGCACCACGAAGGGAGCTCCAGGAACTGGGCAACAGGAGACAGGGCACTAGGAGGGGGTACCATGAGGCTGGTGCTAGGAGCAGGTGTCAAATCCTTAGTGTTGAAAGCACGCAGACCTTGTTTGCGCTAGGTGTTAAGTGTAGGAGCGCTGCAATAACGAGGCGGCAGTGCCTGATGACCACAAAAAGGATGAGGCCCAGTTGTTGACATTCAATCTAATGTAGTCCCTCGGATTGAAGACAACTTGAGTTTCAAGAGCATTCCTAAAGATGGCAAAAAATAATGTTACTCGAACATCAAAATATCCAACATGATTACCTAGATAAAGGGACAAACACATCGCCCTGTAGAGAAATAGAAGTTGCTTATGTGAGAGCAAAGACAGAGTTTGAGGTTGCTTGTGAGAGAACTGCGACTCTTGAGATTGAGCTTTCGGTGATCGTGAGGAGAGTTGATAAGCTAGAGGTAAGCTGACTGTGAGGCTGCCTGCATGAGAATAGAGACAAAGTTTGAGGGTTGCTTGTGAAAGAGCTACACCTTTTGAGTCTGAGCTTTNACAAGGGGCTCCCCTGTATGGGGCACCCAAGGGGGCTCCAAAGGGGTGCCCAAATGGGGACCTCCTTGACGCCTAAGGCGTAGAGCTTCTCTAGCTTGATGCCCTCCGGGCTGTACTCCTCATTGTTGTCCAACGAGCATCAATTGCGGGATCTACTGATTCTGAGTCACGAACTATTATATTGTTTTCAGCATCTGTTGTGCGTTCGGAATAGGATTGGTTAGTGAAGGGGCGGCCTCGTCCTCTCGTGGTGGATTATCTTTGGGCTAATTCATGGATCTGATAATGATTGCTAGGTACAGAAAGAAAAGTGATTAGGTGAGAATTTTGTCAATTCTTACAAATTGCACTAAACTGATGATGCACAAATTGGTCTTATGCACTACCTTTCAAGTGATTGATAATTAATGCGGCAATTAAGGAGTAAGAGAGCAACACAAGCAAGACAAAGATGTAGAGTGGTTTGGTCAACTTGATATACGTCTACTATGAAGGGCTAGGATGACCTAAATATTTTATTACTTCAAGGAGTGTAGGGAGTGTAGGGAGTGTAGGGAGATACAAGCTATGTTTGACAAGAGAGAGTAATAGTAGATGTGTTCAATTGGGTGTGATGCCCCCAAAATATTGGAAGGGCTTACAATTTATAGTCGCCCCCTAACAGATTGAGGTGATTTAATAGTAACTAAAAGACTAATTTAGTGGAGCTGGCGCCATCTTCTCAACGGATGAGGCAGTTATGACGCTCCCCATAAGATCTAGTCAAAGGATGAAGTGGTGGTTGACTTATTCCAAGGTGGTGTGGATGAGACTCTTGGATGACCCTTACTCCAAGGTGTCTTAGATGATGCTCTTGGGATGACGCTTACTCCAAGGTGGCTTGGATGAGGCTCTTAAGACAACCCTTACTCCAAGGTGGCTTGGATGAGGCTTTTGGGATGACCCTTATGCTAAGGTGGCTTGGATGAGGCTCTTAGTGATGTAACCCCTCGAACCCTGATGAGCTTGACTGGGCGTGGACCTCTTGGGATAACTCTACTTACTCTCTTGGTGATGTAACCCCTCGAACCCTGATGAGCTTGATTGGGTGTGGACCTCTTTTAAACTTGTAAAATTCAGGTAAATTTGAACTTTTTATGAGAAAGGGGCAAAATGGTAATTTATCACTATAGTGTAGATTGAAAACCTATGTTTCTCTAGAGCTCGGATGACACAATGGACCTCACCATTGGATTTGTCTCATGAAACCTAGTTACCTTGATAATTTTCATCGAATTTTGAGATAGTCAAATTTTTTACGTTTTACGAGATAACTAGGTGTCGGGTAACCTCAAAAACGTTTTCAAAAATAAAATTTATAAAATTTTCTTATAATTTAAAGAAAGTTCAAATAAAAATATTTTCAACTTAAACCGGGACGAAATTTAATCGTTTCGGAACAAAAACGTACCAAGAAATAAGGAACGTGCGGCGTGACGTGGACCACGTAATTAAAGGGTATAAATAAGGTGAAATATTTGATTTTTTCCACACACATCAGCTGGGTTNCTCGTGGTGGATTATCTTTGGGCTAATTCATGGATCTGATAATGATTGCTAGGTACAGAAAGAAAAGTGATTAGGTGAGAATTTTGTCAATTCTTACAAATTGCACTAAACTGATGATGCACAAATTGGTCTTATGCACTACCTTTCAAGTGACTGATAATTAATGCGGCAATTAAGGAGTAAGAGAGCAACACAAGCAAGACAAAGATGTAGAGTGGTTCGGTCAACTTGACATACGTCTACTATGAAGGGCTAAGATGACCTAAATATTTTATTACTTCAAGGAGTGTAGGGAGCGTAGGGAGATACAAGCTATGAGTGACAAGAGAGAGTAATAGTAGATGTGTTCAATTGGGTGTGATGCCCCCAAAATATTGGAGGGGCTTACAATTTATAGTCGCCCCCTAACAGATTGAGACGATTTAATAGTAACTAAAAGACTAATTTAGTGGAGCTGGCGCCATCTTCTCAACGGATGAGGCAGTTATGACGCTCCCCATAAGATCTAGTCAAAGGATGAAGTGGTGGTTGACTTATTCCAAGGTGGTGTGGATGAGACTCTTGGATGACCCTTACTCCAAGGTGTCTTAGATGATGCTCTTGGGATGACGCTTACTCCAAGGTGGCTTGGATGAGGCTCTTAAGACAACCCTTACTCCAAGGTGGCTTGGATGAGGCTTTTGGGATGACCCTTACTCTAAGGTGGCTTGGATGAGGCTCTTAGTGATGTAACCCCTCGAACCCTGATGAGCTCGACTGGGCGTGGACCTCTTGGGATAACTCTACTTACTCTCTTGGTGATGTAACCCCTCGAACCCTGATGAGCTTGATTGGGTGTGGACCTCTTTTAAACTTGTAAAATTCAGGTAAATTTGAACTTTTTATGAGAAAGGGGCAAAATGGTAATTTATCACTATAGTGTAGATTGAAAACCTATGTTTCTCTAGAGCTCGGATGACACAATGGACCTCACCATTGGATTTGTCTCATGAAACCTAGTTACCTAGATAATTTTCATCGAATTTTGAGATAGTCAAATTTTTTACGTTTTACGAGATAACTAGGTGTCGGGTAACCTCAAAAACGTTTTCAAAAATAAAATTTATAAAATTTTCTTATAATTTAAAGAAAGTTCAAATAAAAATATTTTCAACTTAAACCGGGACAAAATTTAATCGTTTCGGAACAAAAACGTACCAAGAAATAAGGAACGTGCGGCGTGACGTGGACCACGTAATTAAAGGGTATAAATAAGGTGAAATATTTGATTTTTTCCACACACATCAGCTGGGTTCTCACGTTGAAGAGGAGAAGAGAGGGAAAAAGAGAAGAAAAATCAAAAGCTCCACCTTCTCTCTACGATCTACGAAGCTCCATTGGTTAAATCGACTCGGAGTAAGAGTTAAAGTCGATCACCTCGACGAGGGCTACACAACCATATCAAGAATGAAGGATTTTACTGAAGATCCAAAGAGGAGATTTTAGAAAATCAAGAGTTTGGAGTTGTTGTTGTGTCCTTGAAGTTCTCTATACTTCGTTTTACACTTTAANTCAAAAGCTCCACCTTCTCTCTACGATCTACGAAGCTCCATTGGTTAAATCGACTCAGAGTAAGAGTTAAAGTCGATCACCTCGACGAGGGCTACACAACCATATCAAGAACGAAGGATTTTACTGAAGATCCAAAGAGGAGATTTTAGAAAATCAAGGNAGGGCTACACAACCATATCAAGAATGAAGGATTTTACTGAAGATCCAAAGAGGAGATTTTAGAAAATCAAGAGTTTGGAGTTGTTGTTGTGTCCTTGAAGTTCTCTATACTTCGTTTTACACTTTAAGATGTAGGGTTTCATCCTACATAGGTTTATTTACAACCTATAGTGTCCATATGGGATGGATAGGTGGTTAGAGATTAAACACTTACCTATTGTTAAGAAGCTGAGGAAATGAGTATATAAATGGTCTAAAACCAAATTCTAGCTTGAATTTGATATGTGGAAGTTACTTGTGTAATTTCTTGGAACTTATTATTGTGTGGGCAATTTTGTGTGATAATATGATTTGGTGCCTTGAAGGTGTTTGTTAAATGCCTATGTGAAAAATTAAGTGTGTTATGACAAGGATTATGTATGACATGCTTGAGAAAATTGTAGTTAAATGAATGTGTTGATACATGTTATTAATATATTGACACCATGATAAATTGTGGGAATTATATGCTTGAGATATAAATTGTCATGGAATACATTAATATGTGGTTAAATTACTCATTTGACATTCATTGCATATTGAGAATGATGTTGGCATCACACTCATGGGCATANTGAGAAAATTGTAGTTAAATGAATGTGTTGATACATGTTATTAATATATTGACACCATGATAAATTGTGGGAATTATATGCTTGAGATATAAATTGTCATGAAATACATTGATATGTGGTTAAATTACTCATTTGACATTCATTGCATATTGAGCATGATGTTGGCATCACACTCATGGGCTTGNATGCTTGAGATATAAATTGTCATGGAATACATTAATATGTGGTTAAATTACTCATTTGACATTCATTGCATATTGAGAATGATGTTGGCATCACACTCATGGGCATAAGACATGAGTGTGGATGTGTGTGCATAGTTGATCAAACACCATTTTTGTTGGTTGATAAATGGACTTGGCAAGGTTGGATCGAAGATCCGATTGAGTTGCATGGTTGTATGAAAAACTTGTGTCGGATATAATAAGCAGGACTAAATTCTCCCTCGGGTGCAATACTCGGCGACTGGTTTATACACTTCCAACGGTACAAATCCAAAAAAGTGTAATGGTGTACGAAACCAGTGATGTGATTCCAAAATTCAATACCCAACAAAGACACATGATTTTATTTTATAAAATAGTCATATTTTGTAAAACATTTGTGAAAATTATGTTTTGGG